TGTGAAAAAGTTTGTTGATAGGCAATACAGAGATTCAGTAGAGATTTTGAAAAAATCTTGAATTTTACTCGATATATTAAAATTAAACAAATATTAAAATATTATAACTCGATATATTAAAAATATTTTGGAAAGCGAAAATTTTTTCCATTATATTTTTTCATTATCCCCTTCTCACATCATTAAATTCGCCTTTCCGTTGGCAATTCTAGAATTACTACGATTCTATTACTAAGTGGGATTCTTTGAAGTTTAAGGAGAGGTAACGACTTTCAATATGAAGTTCATGAGAAGCTGGCGTTAAGGCAGGCTTTGTACGTATCATTTCAGCCAAGCCAATTTCACCAAATTTTTTTACATGAACGAAGATAAATACATGAAAGACCAGAATTCAGATGATGCTGCAAAATAAATTATCAAAAAATGAGTAATACTATGGAATAAAATTGAATGGTTTCATGAAATTTTTCAGCCCAAATAATTTTTTGAATTTCTATTGGATTAATTGAATTGATTATCAAATAGGTTAACGTTTAATATTCTCGATCTTTTGCTCAATTATAATAGGTGTAATAATCGAATACAAACTGAATCGTCAATTCCATCAATATTTGATGCATATCGATTTGCTTGGAAAAATATGGATGGAATTCTGGTACGATTTCTATAACATTCACTTTTACCAATCCAGAAATTATAGAAAGTGGTTAAAGGGAGATCAATATGGAATGAAGATCAAAAGTTCGAAGAGCAGCTAACCTTTCATTTTCGTTTGAGGATTTTCTTTGGGCAAAATCCTTTGAAAGCTTATGGGGTCTATTTTAAAATTCCAAGCTTCTGGTAAATGATCTGAAGTTAAAGATGATTCACACAATCAACAGATGTGAAAAAGAATTTTTATGAGACTACTGGAGTGATTAGAGAAGAAGGCTATCAATATGGAATGCAACAAAGCTGCTCATATCTGCTCTTGTAACTATATCAAATACCAGAGTCATATACTAGAATCATATGGGCTCAGGCGTCGCCTGATTGAGGTCTGAAATGGTTGCTGAGGAACCAGTACCTGATGATAAGTGGACCAATACATTAAGTTCTGTAGAACCAGAGAAATCTGGCGTAAAATAAGCTAGTGCTACAAACCTTACATGAAAGAGATAGTATAACAGTACATTATAACAGTACATTTAATAAACAAGGTTATAAGAAGATCCACAACTAAAAAATAGCTAGTTGCTTAAAGCTTCAACTTAGAGAAAAGGAAGTTGCTCTTCGCTGGAAATCGATCAACTTTTTATTACAACCCATATCCAGATGAAGGGGAAAGAAGAGATGTGCAAACAACGATCTGGAAAACTAGATATTGCTTCCAATATCTCAAAGCAGACCAGAGCATAGGGAAAAAATTCACGAATAAACTAATGGAAACTGATGAACTGACTATCGCCGACTTCTGAAGCTCAGCGAACTACTGCTAGCAATGTATTACAAGATGAAAAGAGTGGGTAGAGCAGCTCCTACTCTATGATAAAAATCAATTGCTGTACACCACAGCCTGTAATTCTGGAAACGTTTGAATACAATTGTAGAAATATGTTGGCTATGGAAAATAAGGCTGGAAAATAAGCTCAGGATACAATGTAGAGAAATTAGGCATCTAACGGAGCTACTGAAAAGTGCAAATGTTAAAAATAGGATTTAGGAAAAATACGAGAGGCGTATTAGAAACTCTAAAGATTAATTAACAACAAAAGTTTACAGCATTGGCCACTATACGAAGGAGATGAACTAGAAAAGCTGAGGCTAAAAGGACGAATATCACCGAGAATCGAATCTGGTAACGAACCACGCTTTTTCGAAGATAATATCGCCAAATAGAGAAGGCAAATGAGAGTGCACTGGTTCATCGGGTTATTGTTCAATTCAAAGTGCTATGCTGAGCTTTACTCTTAGCAAGATTTAATCTGGCGAAAATCCGGACACTGTTGGCAACTCACCTATATTTGCATCGCCAAGGTACTGAGACATATTTTTCTAGCTCGACAAGCCTGCGGAGGAATTCTAACTAGCAATAAATAAATGCTGATGAAACCTATTGATTGGAGGTTTGGCAGAACTTTTTTAAAATATTGTGAACTATAATGATTCTTACGATGGTGAAAAATGCGGCCTAAGCAATATTCAATATCTATTTGATGCAAAATATATCTCTTCGAGCGAATGCGTTCATATAACGATAACAGTGAAGACAGTGGAAACATATCAAGATATCAGTGGTTATATAATCACTAATTACAATATTACAATATTAGAATATTGGCCACGATATGATAAAATGGCTCAGTGGGTTATTGCTCAATTCGGAGCGTCGATGCTATTCTATTCTATTCCCGCAGAAATAAACCTATGCAAAAATACGAGTGACGCTGGCGACTCACCTGTATTTCAATTACTAAGGGACTTCCTCGCATATTTTCCCAATGCGATAAACCAACGGAGCGAATTTAACCAGTAATGGTAAGGGCATTTAAAAAGAAAATTTGACTACACTGCATCATCTTTTGCTTATTTAAGAGATTCCTTCTACTGTGATATATCTAGCAAAACACAAGAAAGAAACCGGTGCCATTCTTAGAAACTAAAAATTTGACAAAAGCCCAGATGTTGATATTGGACTGAAGTCCTCAGAAATCCAATGTCTCTCACAATTCTGCTTCAGAAGTATCTTCGCTCAAATACCACCTATATTAATTATATTATCACAGACCATCGCCTTTGCTGTTTAGAGCACGTTCGTCTACCACAGGAATTGATTCATATTTCGCTACTTGCCGAACCCTGTGATGTTTGGCATTAAAATCGGAGAGGGCCACTCAAGACCTGGACTGGTTCAGTTAGGAAAGATTTTGAATACATAAGTGAACCAGAGAGATGATGGAAAAAAAGTGGCTTCTAATACTATTATCGATGGTCGAACAGCTTGAAGACGTCTTCCCTTTAGCCAGTAGAGCCAGCCTAACCAATCATGATGAGAGCTGTTAGAAGATGAAGAAGCATGGAAATATAAGAATAAATATAAGATGGTGGTTATACAATGATCATGAAATTTATGGTGAGCATTACTGTAAAATCAAAATTGCCAATTTTTTTAATTCCTTTACCAACTGATAAATTAAGACATCAGTTTGATTCCGAAAGGTTCATTTATTTTCCTGCCATCGAATACGTTCATTTACAAAAAAAAATGTAGAAAAAATATTTATGAAATCCTTCTATAAGACGAATTGTGTCGAAATTTTTTATAAAAAAATTTGAATTCCTCAATTTTTAAAGATTATTTTTTCTTTAAAATATGGAAAATTAAAATATAAAAATATTATATAATTTGCCAAATATAAGTATTTTTAGTTATTTTAAGGAATTTTGTGAAAAGGAAGTGAAAAGACTCAATGAATTATTGTTTTATTTCGGTGAATCGATCCACAACTGAGTTTACCTGGTTTTTCGAATAAATAAAATCTCATTTTCTCATTACGATTAGCTAATATAATTAGCTTTCCTTATGTTTTTTTTTTAATTTTTTATTTTTTAAGGAAGCAAAGCTTCCAAAAATTTTGTAGAGCTTTTCTGAATATATCTTGCTTACCGCATTTTTACCCATCCTATATCTTACAACTGATAGTATTAGTGACGCTAATATTCACTGAAATAAAACGGCAAGCAGAAATTTTACAAAAATTTCTATGTTCTTCGAATTATAAATATTGTAACATATTTCAAAAACCAGAAGTTAAACTTTTGAGATTCGACATTAATCTCTAATCTCTAAGTCGAAATGGGAAATAGGAAAATAAAATTTTTGAAAAAAATCCGAAAAAGTGTTATTGTCGCAAAATTCACGTAGATAAATGTTTAAAGGTATCGCCAGAGATCATTTCACAGCCAAATATTCATATTTTCGTAAGTGCTGTGCCAGTAAAAATGCGATGTCATACTTCATTTTTAATTTTATTTCTTGTCTTGATAAGTAAGTTTTGAATTTCTTTACTATTATTTTCATGCCAGTGGGTTACAAAATGGCTTAATGAATTTTTGCGCATTCTATAATTTTGACGCATTGGTTCTTGGATTTTCTTCCATTTTTGGGCTCTGACAAGAACGGAAAAATCCCGGGTAATTTTTTCAAAAATCCATAGTGATACTGTCGACTCATCTGCATTCCTATGATTCGTTCTTTGAACACAATTTATGAAAAAAAGGCATTTCCCATAATTTTATTACTTAATTTTATTATTTTATCACTATTTTTTACTTCTTCATACGTATTAAATCAAATGAATCCAAACAAATCATAATAAAAAGATTGAAAAAAACTTCAATTGATAAAGATGATTTGAATTTCAGGTGCACCTATTTCTTTTTCAAAAGGTAATTTATTTCATATTTTTTTCTTTTTCAAGTTAATGGAGAATTTCCACTTCGTTTTAAATATTTTCCTCTTAAATTTCCCACTAGTTTCATTGTATTTTTTTCGCACAGTTTTGGTTTTGTTTGCTTTTTTTTATGAGTTTGTTTAAAGAAAAACTATCCACTTAATTTCTATAATGGATTTAATCCATGACGCAAAACGTTAAATGAGATTTTCGCTTGCATAATATGCAAGCGAAAAATTATTGAATGGGCAGCCAATATTTCCACAGTGCCATGAAGCACAAGGCTTATTATGCAATTAAGCAAAAAATAAATGCAGCTGCTGCTTGCAACACTACCCTTAATACATTCATATGGAAATGGATAAATCTCGAATAAACAATATTTTTTAAAAATAATATAAAAATTTATTACAAGAAATATAGAATTATTAAATAAATAAATAATGAAGCAGCACTATTCACTTTTTTTTTTTTTTCACTAATTTAGATTTTAATAAGAATTTTTTTTAGAATAGTTTCTTTATTTTTTTGTTAGTAGATTAAATTCTTTAATTTATTTCATACTTAATGATTCGTTTTATGAATATTTGTATTAATGAATATAATGAATGTAAATTTCAGGCTTATTTCACCGACGGCCATCAAGTAAATTGTTTTTTGAAAATTTTTTATTTTATAGAGATTTTTTTTTGTAAACATTTTATTAGAATTTTAAATAAAAATGAATTAACTTATTCTACTGTAATTTTTAAATCGCTATTTTAGATAGATTTTCTAACATATGATTCGTTTCAGCGACACGTACACCGTGCGTTGGAGAATGGAAACGTGATTTCGATCGGGAAAAGACTCTTGATGCAATAAATACATTTAGGAAAGAACTTGTGAATGGAAGAGTTCGGTCTAAAAATACCAATTTCCCAAAGGGTAGAGAGATGTATAAAATGGTTAATTTTAAAATTATCTTACATAGTTCATTTATGCTTTCGAAAAACAACCAAGCAAGATGAATGCCATTTTCTTTCATCAGTAATAATATTTTCGGAAGTCTTAAGAAAAAGAAGGGGCAGTAAGGAATAAAGTTTTAAAATATTAAATTTATATTAAATTTTTCAGTTAATAAAAATGAACAAAATAATATCGCGAACAATCTAATTATATAGGTGCAATGTAAGATGATCGATTAGGTTATTGGCCATTAACGAAAATTAAGCGGAAGGTTTTTGGCTTGTTTGAATGACTTTTTGTACGAAATACGTGAAGGCATTCGATTTTTTAGAGATGGAATTGTTCATTAGAGAAAATGGCTCGTAAAAAAGTTTCTGAATGCAAATTTGGTTCAGAATATAACGATGACATTGGAGAAACTATTCACACTTCACTTGAGCCTGCAAGTGAATTTTTTGGGCAAAAATTTTCAAAAAATTTTCAGAAAAATAAGAAAGGATTATGAGTGAAATCTGCATAGTATTCTCAAACATTAATTAATTCTCAAAGGCGTAAGGAGAAAGGTGAAATGAAATATAATTAACGATATATAACGATATATGAATATACAAAATTATAAATGATAAATATTCATAATGAAAATTTTAAATTTCCTCATTTTATCTACTTTCAGTTTCAAATAAACCCCTTGAGGATGCATTAAAAAATTGGTTAAAAAGTGTAGAGGACTACGATGGCGACAGCCTGTCAGTTTGCGAATTTACAAATTCATTTTATGATTTTGCACAGGTTCGATTTTTGCGCGTTTTTGCTTGCATTCATGAATAGATTATCAATGACATAACTTTTCCACATTAAGATTTTCAGCAATATGGCAGCATTTTAGATTGCATCAGGATCAACTACAGATATAGGTTGTGCTACAAATATTTGCAAATTTGAGCAGGATTATGAGGGTGATGACGTAGTAAAAGAAAGAAAAGTTCAGTTCACCGTTTGTAAATTCTGGCCGAAGTAATATTTTTCCACCTTCAGATTATTTTTTTTTTATTATTACTTTTATTATTTTTTATGTATTTTCAAATATTTCAAGAAGAATTTTACAGTGTGGAATTATTCAAGAAATTATATGTAAAGGGAAAGCGATGTCATAGAGGTTGGAAATGCGCCAAACACGGTTCATCTTGCAATAGCGATAAACTCTGTGAATTCGAATCGCCTGGGTATTATGATGAATGTTGTTATGAGAAATGAAAAAAAAAAAATTCAATAAAATCCAATTTCTGAAATGCACTACATAATTTCATGTTTAATCTTTCTTGCGAGATTAACTAACTAAGCTAAAAAAATTTACCCGAAAATAAATGAATGGCGCACATTTGAAATTGAAATTCAGAAAATAGAAAGTCGATCAACGATTTCTTAAGGAATTACAGTTAAACAA